TTGTATACCTCGGTGGGCAAGAGCCGTCTCTTCAACTTCGAAATGAGTTACTGCAATTTTATTCTGCCATGAACCAGCACTGTTGAGGAGTACCATTTTCTGCCCAAACAGGAACCAGGGGATGGACGGTGGGCGAACGTGGTTCAATTGCAACACCTTGATGACGATGAGATGCGTTGCGTTACCCTTCGGTAGAAGCTCGGCGCTAGCATCACCAAAAATTCGGAAGCGCGATTCTGCCAACGGGGCTAGTGACCAGTCATTCGAGCAACAGGACGCAACATTGCCACGAACACAGTCCATGATTCTTCGGCAATGCGAAACCTCAAGATTGTAGCAAGGTCGCTCCTGCGATTTTCCGGAGACGAGCCACTACCGTTAACGGCGACTGCATGGGACGCCGCATCAAATGCGCTGGTATGCGCCTTCGGCCCTTCGGAATCACGTGCGACCATCGAACTCAAGAGACTGCATCATACTCGCAACGGTGTCGAGGAAAAGCTTGAAAGCATCGCATCGTGGGATGCGCCATGCCCGCTGCCCTCGCTTACCCATGACTCAATCTTGAGCCTGCACCATTTCGCCGACACTTCGACATCATGTTTGATTCTGGCCGGAGGAGACATCGTGCTCGTGCGAGAGGACCCATCATCTACAGAAGAGCTAGTTGAGATCGTGGGCTCAGTCGATGCCGGTATCTCTGCTGCGGCGTGGTCACCAGATGAAGAACTTCTCGCCATCACCACACAGGCGGACACTTTACTATTGATGAGCCGCGATATCGAAAACATTGCGAGTATCAATCTCACCCCCGAAGATGTCAACGTCTCCAGTCATGTCTCTGTGGGTTGGGGAAAGAAAGAGACACAGTTCAAGGGCAAACGAGCCAGAGCACTGCAAGATCCAACAGTGCCAGAAAGTATCGACGAGGGTGTACTGAGCCCATTCGACGATCGCTCTGTCACGATAAGCTGGAGAGGTGACGGCGCATGGTTTGCAGTAAGCAAGGTCGAGGAAGAACGCCGTCGCATGATCCGCGTCTACTCCCGGGAAGGACAGCTGGACAGTGTGAGCGAGCCCGTGGACGGCCTTGAAGGAGCTCTCAGTTGGCGACCATCAGGTAATCTGATTGCGAGTACCCGTCGCACCGAAGATAAGATTGAAGTGGTGTTCTTCGAGCGCAATGGTCTTCGCCACGGCCAATTCGATCTTCGATTTACCCCGGAAGAGCTTGCAGCCCTCTCGATTCCGTTAACACTCAAGTGGAATAGCGATTCCAACGTGTTAGCTGTATCATATCCTGGCAAAGTACAACTTTGGACGATGAGTAATTACCACTACTATCTCAAGCAAGAACTTCGATTTCCGGACGCTGGTCCTCGAACAGTCATATGTAGCTGGCATGCTGAGCGTCCGCTTGTAGTAGCTTTGTCAACTCCAGGTAAGTTGGCCCTCGTCAACGCAAGGTTAATATAACTAAGTTCAGTTCAGATGCGCTTCAAGTGCTTGAGTACGCGTCCACAATTTCGGCCGGCTCAGTCGCCCCGCCGAACGATTTTGGCATGGTCGCATCAATAGATGGATGTGAGTGATGCACTTTATATGCGTGATTTTTTCGATACTAATTACTGCAAGTATCCCTGAAACTCACACCACTTCGCATCGCGAATGTGCCACCTCCCATGTCACTTCACACTCTGGGTCTCGACTCAAAACCAATGGACGTAGCGCTTTCAAAATCTGGCAATCGCTTGGCAGTGCTCTCCGACAGCGACCTTGCTGTGTATGCTCTCGATCTCAACAAGCGGCCTATACCCAAGCCTAGTCTCCTCTGGCGCAGTGATGCGATAAGTCATGGCTCACCACGCCACGTCACGTTCTTTGGTGAGGATCAGATCTTCGTACTAGCAGACAGCTGGGACGAAGAGGAAAGCTCGCTCTGGCAGTCCGAAGGCGATGTGCTACTACCCCAAGGACACATAATGGAGACCGAGAACGTGTCCCTACTTTTGTCCAACGTTCATCAAGAAACGCCGTACATCGAGTTTCAAAATGGTGCCCTCCATCAGGTCGTTGTAGATGAGCTGAGATCGGATTGTGCTCCCCTGACGCCTTTCGTGCATAGGTTTCCTTCATTTGCGCTCGAGGTTCAAGTGATCGATGTTGAAGGCCAGGTACGCAAACATACTCCCCGCGACGTCGTATCAGCTAGCTAACATGGCCAGACATTGGCATTTGGATTAACAAAGAGTGGAGTACTATACGCTAACGAGCGCATTCTGGTCCGCAACTGCACGTCTTTCGTGATTACCACTGCGCATCTCATTTTCACGACGACACAACATTTACTCAAGTTTGTGCATCTTGCAAGTGCAGATGGTAAGTCCAACTTGCATCATGAGACTAGACGCATGTACTGACATGTACTAGAACTCGAGGTACCCGCAGACGAGCCACAAAAGGATGAGAGATGCAGGAGCATCGAAAGAGGAGCAAAGATCGTTACTGTGATGCCTACGGCATACTCAGTCGTGTTGCAGATGCCAAGAGGTAATCTTGAGACGATCTATCCGCGAGCGCTTGTGCTTGCTGCCATCCGTCGCAACATTGAGGCAGAGCGTTACGATGAAGCCTTCTTTGCTTGTCGTAATCAGCGCGTCGATCTCAACATACTTCATGACCACGATCCGGAGCGGTTCATGGCGAGCCTGGAGAAGATTATTTCACAGATCAAAAAGATCGAACATATTGACTTGCTCCTGGCGCAGCTCCGGTAAGCGATTAACCATGCATCTTAGAACATGGTTGCTAACTGTTCAAGTAACGAGGACGTGTCGGAGACCATGTACAAGGAAACGTTGAAGACGAAAGATCTGGCTACGAAGCCAAAGCTCTCCCTAGACCAAGTCGAGAACAAAGTAAACCGGATATGCGACGCTTTCCTGGCCGTGTTAGAGAAGTCTCAGTATAAAGACGCGCACCTGCAAAACATCATCACAGCCCATGTTTCCAAGACACCACCAGCTCTGGAAACAGGTCTTGCTATGACAGGTCGCCTACAAGGTAAGTCTTATACATTTGCGTTTTCCGCATTTCTAACATGTCACAGCATCTAGCGATCCCCTCACTGAGAAGGCTGCCGAACACATATGCTTCCTTGCAGACGTCAACCAACTATACGACACATCTTTGGGACTGTACAACCTTGACCTCGCCCTGCTCATCGCTCAACAGTCACAAAAGGTATGCTGATCGAATACATGGGTCTCATTAGTAGCTGACCCTCAATAGGATCCGCGAGAGTATCTGCCACACTTGCAATCTCTACAAGATCTGTCCGAAACTCGTCGCAAGTTCAAGATTGACGACCAGCTCGGAAGAAGAGCGAAAGCGCTCATGCATCTCAAGGATCTTCAGGCCTACGATGAGGTACAAGACTATGTGCAAAAGCATGATCTCTACCCTGAAGCCTTGAGCATGTACCAATACGACAGCACCCGTCTGAAGGAAATCATGAGGTTGTACGCAGACTTCTTGAGTACTAACAACAAGAACAAAGAAGCTGCATTGGCGTACGAATACCTCAACGATCATGCCTCCGCTTGGCCATGCTACCGTTCAGCCAACCTCTGGCGTGAGGCTTTGTCGTCTGCTATTCTCGCCGACGTAAGCGCGGATGAACTCTCAAGCATTGCGACAGATCTTGCAGAAGGTCTCACAGAATCCAAAGACTACCTGTCAGCTTCATCAATAACACTCGACTACCTCTCCGACCTTGCGTCCGCGGCACGTCTCTTATGCCGAGGCTGCCATTTCGCCGAAGCAATTCGCATCGTCACACTCCGACGCGAGCCCAGCCTCATCACCGAAGTCATCGACCCCGGCCTCGTCGAGCGCAGCGCAGACATGACAGAGTTCCTCGCCGACATGAAGGGTCAACTGCAAGCACAAGTACCTCGACTCAAGGAACTCAGGGCCAAGAAAGCAGAGGATCCGCTGGCATTCTACGAAGGCATGATCGACGGTCCTGCCGATGCCAACATTCCCGACAATATTTCTCTGGCGCCCACAGATACAACGAGTGGTGGCACGTTCATGACCAGGTACACAAACCAGACTGGTACCGTGAACACAACAACTACGCGCAAGACAAGCAAGAACAAGCGGAGAGAAGAGAGGAAGCGTGCGCGCGGTAAGAAGGGTACAGTATACGAAGAAGAGTATCTTACCAACTCCATCGAACGCCTCATAGAGCGCATCAACAGCATGCAAGAAGAAATCCAACGTCTTATTGAGGGTTTAGTCAGACGGGGTATGAGAGAGCGTGCTGATGCTGTGTCCAACGCTGTCAACGAGGTCATGGAACGGTGTCAAGATGCTATCAAGGAGATGTATCCACCTGTGGCTGCAGGGAGCTCGGAAGGTATCAATGGGGCACCGATTGGAGTTGAGGGCGAGGCGATGAAGCCTACGGGCGGGGATGCGACTTTATGGGATAGCTTGCAGGAGGTTGGAAAGAAGAGGGAGGCGCCTGTCGTGAAGATGTTTGAGAGGCTTAGCCTTTTGGGATAGGCAGGCTGTGGTCTTTCAAAGTAGACATGCTTGAGACTCCTGAAGCTACAATTCTATGTGTCTCAGAAATCGCTACTTGGACGGTGTTGCGCGGGTGTCATTACCCCTGATAGTGAATCCATGGCGGATGGATGACATAACTAGCGTCTGTTGTGCATCTCCGGCAGTCGCGTCATTACTCCTCGAATGCATGCTCACACCAAATACGCGTCAACACCACGCGTATCAAAGCCTGCTTCGCGATTTTTTGCCCAGGCGCAACCATGCGAGCCGAATGTGCAGCTGGAAACCACGCTTTTGTTCATTTATGCTATACTGACGTTTGCAAACCCGTAATCGATCTGCCATGATACGACCTCCCGTGCCCGGTACGAACGCGCCGACGCCCTGCCAGACCATGATCGTCCGCCCTATCTGAAGCCGTGCATCTAGCTCTCCAAATCACAGACCTTAACACCTTGCTCCGCGCAAGCGACTTGGAAATCGAACAGCGCCTTCGCACCGCCCTCGTCCTCCTCCGCAATCTCAGTCTCCACGAGAATCTTCCACTGCTCGCGGCCAGAATGCTTGCCTATCGTAGCCACCAGTCGCTGCAGGCTGCGTACTATACCTTTCGCGAGCTTGTCGTGGTCTGGCTCGTGGGTGTCGGAATGGAAGAACAACCAGTCGAGATATTCTCCATACCGCCTATCTAGCTGAGACTTCTCGTTGAAAGGGAGCATTTGCTGGAAGAAGCTGCCGAGGTTCAGGTGTACCGATTTCGAAGCGACGTGGTCCTTGTCTTGCTCCTTGCACAGCAGTGTTACGATGCATACCAGACGATCGATAAAGGCGTACGGATTGCCATATTCCAGGAGTTCTTCGGAGAGATGGATCTTGATGATACGAAACTGGTTGGCTGTCTTCCAGAGTGCGCTCTTGCATGTAGTGGGCTTCCTGTAGCCGATGACCTTGCGGAGAGTACGCGGGCGAGGGAGGGTGGTGTAGTACTTGCTTATACTGCCCTCAGTATTGAGGAAGAAGGGGGTTTTGGCGAAGACGACTCACATCGCCTCCGTTCTGATCGCTTTAGAGACCTGGAGGATGTTAAATCGACCTGCTCCAGACTTAGTCTTGGCGCCATGTTTGGAACATAGCTCGAGCATCCGCTTTGTTGTTCCAGGGTGGCAGCACTCCTTGACTACGACAGGCTCGTCAATATCGAACGCGAGGCTGTATATGTCTTGTCGTAACTCCATGGGGATCCTATCGAGGGCCCCGAAGCCACCTTGCTCCTGCCCATCCGATGCGCTCGAATTGGCTCGGCACTTCTTGGGAGAAGCGTAAGCGTTGTACTCAGGGATCGGGCTTGGAGATCTTGATGGTGTGGTCAGCTCCGAGATGTCCGTCGGTGCTGGCGATGCAGCTCGATGTCTGTCCGAACAGTCAGTTTCCATGCTTTCGGTCATGTTTTCCCTGGTTCCTGCAAAAGAGGTTTGCGGCGATGAGGTTGTGGTAGGGAAAGAGAAGGTAGGCAGCAGCAAGTAAAAGAGCGATGGGAAGACATGTGATGCAGGGTCTATGTTCTGGCAATCTGCCTTCACCGCGACAGGAGAACGTTGCTTCTTCAGGTGATCGAAAGCTGGTCACAAGATCGCGGTTCACCCAGGATTTTTATGCTCGTGGCAATGCTTCAGTCCACGGGATTAATGCGATTGGCGCCCAAGATGGTAACCGTAGCCAGAAGGACACGATGTAAGTAGGTAGTTTCCCTACTATTGTCATCCTGTCATATCTCAGCAGACTCTTGCAAGTTATACTCGCCGCTCTTTGCGAGATCTCCTTCTCAGACTGAGTAGCCTTGTTTGGCTGCTCATTTCCCACGTTATCTTCTCGACGTCATCAACGCGTCCCCGTCCGTTTGCCAGGCAACCATCTAGTGACACCGCGCTAGTCGCAAACGCTCTTGTTGTTTTGATCTCCAGTGCTGTGTCTTCATTTTTTTCGATTAGTCACACCCGCTACGAGACCAGTAAGTACTATTTTCCCTATCAAGTTAATGAATCGAGCGTTCTTTCATTTGCGATACTTTTCAGTCAAGCGTTCAGATTTTGGTTTGTGACAGCGAACGCCAGAACTTGTTCTGTAGCGTAGTGGGAGTCGGTGTCTACTAATTTATTCTGTGCTGACCTAGGACAACCCTCTTACGATCAGGACATGGTTTACTCAAATGCAGTTTATAGAAACCAGCCTCTTCGTAATGCGCGCACACAAGCTGACACTCATCAAGATCGACGATCAAGATGGCGGAGCTCTCCGATGACACCACTTCAGTCATGCACTCTCAAACACAAAGTCCGCTGTTCCAGTTGCCCGGAGAAATCCGCAACAGGATCTACTACTACGCACTTGACATGTGCTTCATACACTCTTCACGCCGATCGGCACAAAGCATCTCCGCGCCCGGCTCCATCAACCCACAAGGACGTCTGGAGCAACACCAATCGTCTACGAACCTCTTGCTCGCCTGCAAGGCAATATGCCGAGAGGCTGAATCTCTATTCGCCGAACTCACTCCCGCGGAGGTCGATCTCCAAGTAACGAAGCGACTCAGCCGAACTGCAAAACGCACACTAAACTCGTTCATGCGGGTCGTCATTCAGTACCCTGTCGAGAATGAGAGAAGGAAGCGAGAAGGCAGAAGCTCGGCGAAGGTGACCACCAGACAGTACGCCTGGGAGCTGTACAAAGCTCTCAAGCTATATACACGCGCATCACCAAACCTTTGTCAAAACCGAGACATGCGTCGAGAAGCTACAGTCCATTACGGACTGCGCTGGCCAAGTCGCTTCCAGTTCGCTGGGGCCATCAAGAGAATGGCGAAGGATAAGTATACGTACTGGGCAGTCGAAGTCCAGTACGAGTACTACGACACTGGAGATCTTGCAGAACTTCAAGAACTGCGCTACATTTCTTGGGCGAGAGATGAGGTGGAGAAACTGGGCAAGCGGATTCGGTTCTTCGTCACGATTTTTCATGGCGGCCCTGCGAGGAGAACTTTCCCTCTGCTAGAGGCTGTTCTTGGCCATAGAGGCATCGAGAAGGGTGAGTTGTTGGATTCTGTGTTAGTGGGTGAGAACTGGTGGTCTGTGGAGTTGAGTCTCTGATTTTGAGGCTGGAGGATACGTAGTCAGAACACCTTGACCAGGTTTTATGTATAATGAAGATGTATGCACCAAGTGCTTGGTTTGAATATGTGATATGAAGCTGGTGAACTGCATGTATGCGGCTAACACACTGCTTAGGTATCACTGGGCCGTCGAATCATGATTGTAGTCCATACAGGTACTTGACAAGTTCTGCTGGCGTAGTGGTAGTGTTACGTATTCAGCTAGTCATGCTACGCTATTCGCAGGACGAGAACCTATCTCGTGAAAGATCAGACTAGTCTATGCTCCTTTCGGGGCGTTTGGAGAAGATAACCGAGCAAGATACTTACTGGGAGGGTAGTGAAGGGGCTGACAAGGGGTCAGTGCATAGTAAAGTCACAAGACGGGCCTACCGCACACCAGTCATGTGCTCTGGCTTATAGTAGATATTGTTCATGGCCAACAACGACACAAACTCGTCTGTAAAGGATAAAAAGTTCCCGTCAAAGCCGTCAGGTGGACGTTAGCCCCCAAGTCAATCACGAGGTCTTCCCTCACCCCACCTCTTCGGTGGATCGTCTCCCCTGTATTATATATTCCTTCTTTACTACGTACCACTTCTTCTTTCTTGCGTATCCTTCCTGTCATATCTTTGTACTGTATAGATTATACCACCATATCCTAGACTTCGTCTCCTGTATACCTCACCCCAACCGATTGAACGGCTAGAAGCGATGAAGTCCCTCTACTCTAGCTTAGTTGCAGCGTTCGCGTTGGCTACTGGTGCTCTAGCTCTTCCAAGTACATCAAATTCGGCTTCCTCTTCGCCTCAAGTCCAAGTCAACTTGGAAATGGCGGGCAACACCAACGTCAAGATATCGATCAAGAACACCGGATCCGAGCCTTTGCGCCTAGTCAAGGTTGATGGTCTTCTAAGCGACTTGGCCGTCAACAAGGTCACTGTCGTGAAAGATGGTAGGTCGCTTCCGAAGCACGGCGGAGCAGATACTAATGCATTGTACAGGCAACAAGCTCCCTTTCTACGGTATCCACGTTGACATCGACCTCAATGCACTGGAGGACTCTTCATTCCAGGCGTTGTCACCCTCAGAGACAGTCGACGTGCACTTCGATATCGCCCATGTTTACGATCTTGGCTCTGGTGGTATGATCGATTTGGTGTCGCAAGGCACCTTCCTCTACGCGACCTCTGGATCATCGGTCGTAGAGACCATTTCCTTCGTCTCGAACACTCTTACCGTCAACATCGATGGATCTGAAGCAGCCGCGACCCGCCAGACTTGGCTTTCGAGCGTATGGAATGCGGAATTCAACCTCCAAGGCGGATGCACCCACGAACAGTACGACATTCTAGACCAATGTCGCAGTCTGTGCTCAGATCGCGCCTATTCCGCATGGCAGAACTCGCTTTCCGACGCTGGCAATCACACGAGGATCATGGAGTTTTTCAAGGATGACACTGAGCAGATTCGCAAGAAGCTCAACGACGGCTTTCTCGCAATGGGATCTGAATGTCGGAACATGAACGAGGGTCGTGTCAAGATCTTTTGTAACAACCTCGATGGCTGTGAACCGGGTGTGTTGGGAATGACTGTGTGGGCGGGCGAGGAACTTCACGTCAGGTTCTGCCCCTTTTGGTTCGATGCGTGGTATCAGATTGATCATCCAGAATGTCATGAAGGCGACAAGACCAAGACGATGACGCATGAGCTCTCTCATGCATTGTTTAGTGTAGGAGATGTCAAGTACGGATATGACAACTTCATCACGCTCAACTCCACGGATAACCTCAACAACGCTGACACTTATGCATTCTTCGCTAAAGGTAAGTCATCTCACCTCATAGAAGGCTTCCCTATGCATCTTGAACAAACCGCTAACCTCATACACAGCGTCTCACAACAACTGTTGAGTTTGATCGATCTTCACATTCGCGGCTTGTTGGAAAATGAGTAGAATGTGACGATACAGATGGGGTTACGAGCAGTCCAGTCGTATGAGTGTTTACTAGTGATATCCGCACGGCGGTGCGAGAATTGGTATAATAGGGTCTCTACGTAGCCTGCACCCATGACAAGGATCTTAGACCTTAATCTTACCTAGCGCCTCGACGTGGGTGAATGCATTGACCAGGTCAAAGTACACCCCGCTTTCTGTTTTGATCACCTACCATTGCGGAGACTCTGAATATCATGAGCTGCAGATATCTCGTGCTTGTGGTCTGTACCTCGCCACACACAAGATCGGCGAGTCAATAAGTCTTTCGGTATAACCCTCGCCATTGCTGCAACTACAACATTCTCGCAACCCGACGTATCCCGCCATGGAGCTGCTCGATCTTCCAACCGAAATCTTCGAATGCGTCATAGCGTACTATGTCAAGGTAGACGGTATCCGACGAGCCTGGCTCCGTCGCAGTGTGTGCAGTAATCGATTATGTCACCACTCATGACGGACAGCATTGCTGACGACTACAGGAACTTTTTGCGAGCACATCAAAACAGAGGTGCTTGCCAAGCAGCCTGCCTCAGCCTATTGGAGCCTGAGTAAGCGCGACTCGGCGTTTTTGCGAAATATACTCAGATCCTTCCTCGAGCACCGAGTGGTCGCACTGTACGGCGCCAATTACCTTCTCCCCACGCATATCAACAAGATTGTCGACGTTCTCGTTAACGTCAGCGGTGATACCTCGCCTGACAAGCGCTCTGTTTGGGTCCGCGGTGTAATCGGCGCTCTGATCAAAACCCCGAATATCTGCAAGCTCGCCTATAACCCGAGTGACAAAAGCAGCAGCAGGGTAATGTCGTCGTCGGGGCGTCAAGAGGCTCTGAGTGTCGCGGTCATCATGGGCAAAAGGAACACTGTCTGCGCACTTACTACCGAGCAGGGTGCCATGTGGACAAAGTGCTCGACAGGATCCGAGCTGGGTTGTGCGCTGGAATTGGCCGTGCAAAACGATGACCTCGATCTTGTTGAGGTTCTACTATCTCATACTCCGCGATCAACTGTGAGTTAGGTCATGAAAATACAAACAATCACGGTCGTAAACGGCATTACGCACGCTATCCGGAGCAATGAGCCCATCGCGCTGGTTTTGCTGGAATGGTACGTCTCAAATACCAAGCACAAGGAGATACGCCACCTCAGGAACTGGTTCGAAGAAGCCTGCGCATCTGAATTGATGGGCTTCCTAGGTAGGCTGATTGCACTGTCCACGCCAAGTATGCGAAAAGAATTCAGACGGAGCTTCCTCACGATAGCCGAACCGTCTTCCAGCGTATATGGATATGGCAGGCGCCATCGTTTCAGTCCTCAGCTCTTCGGTGTTCTTGTATCCTTCTTGTTGGATGCCGGTCTGTTTGACCGTAGCAACATGAACTCATCCGAATGGACAGAGCGCGCTCAATTCCACGGTTTGATTAACACTGCGGTACGGAGAGGAGACTTGAATGCACTTGAGCGCGTCATGGCGGCCAGCGCAAATTCTGATCGCCTACGCCCCAATGCTAAGGGTCTGTCAACTTCTCTACGCCTCGCCGCTCAACAAAGCCGTTTCGATATCTTCAAGTTGTTGGTTGATCACGGCGCCGATCCTGGACTCGATGTCGGTATGCAAGGCCCGAAATAGATCTGTTTCTCAAAATTTGGTAAGTTTCGCTTTTCTTTGCTCAGAGCAATTCAGTCTCAAGAGAGGGCGTATCTGGATTAATTATTTCGTATTACTTTGACGTTCCATGCTTACCAGTAGTAATCTAGCAAACAGACTTATACATCCATGTGGTGGATACGGGTAAAATGGCTGTGGAGAAGTCGGCTGCAGGTAGACGAAGGAACGATGGACATATGCCTAGGTGTGGCCAGATTCGCGGGATCCAGACTGAGGCCTTTGCCTACTACACGGTAATCTGAGTAGATCACGGAATATAATCGAAATGATGAAAGAGAAATCTGGGCTCCTGCGCGCTTCTAGTTGAATGCGCTGATGATGGTGTCGGGCGCGTTGAGGGGTGAGGTTTGTCAGTTGATGTGACTTTGGAGGGAAAGCCCGCAGTGGAGCCGTCGCGACCGAAGCTAACCTGAAAAGTGTCAAATTGAGCTAATGGGACGCCTAACCTGGGCTTTCCCTGCCACCCTGCGTCAGCTGCTCCTTAGTCAGTCTAACTGCAACCTCACTTCAGGAACGCAGCCTGGTCAGGCTGCGGTTCAAGACTCAACATATTGGGAGGAAACCAGCAGAGCACAGAAGTCAAGTCGGCAAGTATCGTAGTCCATTAATCATCTATCCAATTTCTCTACGCTGTATCTCTGGTATATCGCCTTTCACTTGCCCGCCTTCACAGATCTCAACCACAACTTTTTCGACGCTGTTGAACCAACCGAATTGGTTCGATCAGCAGCCACCGTCATTAGGGTCAGACCTACAATCCTCCGACGTTAGCTCTCGTCCTCACCGCACAGTTCGCGACATGTGTACAGCCACTTACTTGAAAAACCAGTCAGCGACCGTCTGAGTGCCGCCCAATGGACAGTTGTTGATGTTTTCTTTAAGTCGCCTTTGGCAGTCTGCTACAGCCAAGGTATGTCCTCCGCTGCTACCCTTCCATCCCACCTCGTAGTTCATCTTGATGCCATTGCACCTGGCCGGGGCGCATGCTTTCTTCGTTTGGCGATAGTTGAAATATCCCGCGAGGGTTAATGATTTACACAGGTCGTCTGCAGCATCAAGGAATGAATTCTTGTTGCAGTCGTTGAGGTAGGGCTTGCCGCTGCCATAGCAGCCGGCCATGGTGCTGGTGGCCGAAGCCAAAGCGATGAGAGGAATAGAGAGCTTCATCGTGAAGAGTTTGATGAGAAGAGAGGCAAATTCGAGTGTGGTGGTGTTGTTGTTGTTATTGACTTGATGAGGATAAAGAGAGATGGAACAAAGAAGAAAAGCTGCTGGCTTTATACCTTATGCGACTGACTCCGACTGGAACGTGCTGTTTTTACCTGTCTTTCACTCGGGTTGCACGCAAATCGACCGTCGCAAGAGCAAGGCTGGAATCCTGCCTGGTCGTGATCCTACACGGGAAGATGTAGATTGCGGGAAGTATGAGCCAATCCGCGTACGGGCAACTCTTGTGAAGGATTACGCTAATCGTGGGCGTACGAGAGAACTGGGACTGTAGGATTGGAAAAAGACTTGTCCTCCGATGAATGTTTCTCAGCCAAGTATCGGGCGTAAGATAGTTCAATACACCAAGGTGTAGCTGTGGGCCAAATTACGCCCCGGTGGAGTAGCCTCCACCCAGAATCCTTTCCAATCCGCTATATCCGACTGTTAAATGTGTAAACACGAGAGACCTGCTTAATGCGGGAAGAACCGACGCTACGAGAGGCTGAAGAGCAAGGGTGTGAATAGACGAGCCGGGTCTTACCAGTATAGGCTATATCTCCACGAAGCGGACCTGCAGATTTTTGCACAAACCTGATGGCCAGGTAGCATTCTACCAATTGAATTCTGGACCCTGGAGGTTACATTAGCGCAATTTCTGCCTGAATGGGAGGACATTGAGTGTCGCGGAGCTGTCAACACCGTTCAGACTTACGCCGATTTACCGGTCCCACGGCTTAAACACCTCCACCAAGTTTGATATCTGTAATGCTCGGCGCATCGGTTTATCTCTGGGTGCATCGGATCATCTAAGGACAACACCGACTGACGACTACCTAGCCAAAACAGAAGTGGAACATACGGGCTATGCATATGAATATCATAACGTGTAGATGACCTCTTCCTATCAGTAATCGCGAGGCCGTTCTCCACGTAGGGCGCCTGAAGCTACGGTAATGCGCTCGTTTGCGTCTAGCCTCAGTCGGGAAGCCAGACAGAAGTTCCGAGCTCCTCGCAACGTGACGTTCGACTTGGAGAGAATGCGTGGGCTGCCAAGGGCTTGGTTTAGCAGGATGAGATTTATCATGTCCGGGTCGCTATTTACCTGCGTCATAGGCGACTTTGAGACTTCTTGTCGTTCTGGATGTTGTCGCGCTGATCTTCCGAGGGTTCTAGGCGAAATCATGGCGTAAGGTCATGACCAAGCTCTGCGAGCTGACGCTTGTGACATGGGCCTCAATTGACGCAGTCGTCTTCTATCTGGCTGTGGGAAAATCGGTGGGTAGTCGATTAACGCCTCCTGAGTACCAATCGGGTTGGTGAAGAATGATCCTTCGTCACCATCTGATGGTTGACAAGTCGACAGCATCTTGACCTAGATGAAATGCCGTGACCACATCCTCCTCTTTTTGTGCTCTTTTCCATTTCCTGACATCCTCATGGATAGGTAAAGCGGGCCTGGAGGAGCGACAGAGGACCACCATCACTTCAACGTCGGTACGCAGATGCTCTGCCCTATCCTGAGATTCCCACAATCCACACCCTGATTCCCTCGTAACCCCAACAAACCATCAACACTCAACCCATTCGCCTCCGCAATCGCCCAACACGTATCACCCCTCTCGACTCGCAACTGGCGCTCCCCATCCCCACAGCCAGCAACAACGGTATCAGGCCCATCACTCCTATTCACAAGCTTGAACACCAGGAACAAAAACACCAGCACCAGCAGCGCAAACGGCAACATCATACGCACAGCGCTTCTATTGCCCTCTTCTATCATCTCATCCTGCTTGCGTCGTTGCTCGTCGGACGGGGGCTGCGAGTGCTCGCCCGTTGCACGCAGCTCGCCGTATCGGTTTCCGGGCTCAGATTCGTAGATGCGGCCGGATGCGTCGCGGAAGGTGTAGGTTTGGGTGTCGGCGTCGTAGCCTATGCGCTCGAAGCCCGAGGGGAGGCGCTCGGCGTCCTGGGGGTTGTGTTAGTGGACTGGTAGGAGACGAGGTATGGAAGGGAAGTTACACTGTCCATGTCTGTCCAGCGACCCATTTTGAAGAAGGCTGGGCTGCGTAGGGTGAGTTGTGAGGGTAAGTAAGATGCTGATTGCGATGTGCCAGGGAGATTGGCGGTTCTCTAGAGTATTACGAATGCGCGGTTACGATGTCGCTAATTGCGGGATCGCTACAAAAATCCAGGTATCATATGATACTGTTGCCTTTACAGCCAGTTGCGCAGGAAGCGAAGTTGGATGCATGAGGGTACGTTGTACGCTGTGACGCGTGGCGGCGGCGCGGAAGAGACGTGACGACGCGGGATGTGGGGCCTTTCCGTGGCGTCCACGGGTGGATCTACCGCGTGCATCGGGCTGGGCTAATGGGCGGCCATGACTGCTTCACACACATCGCCGCATCGCAAGGTAGATGATGTCAGTACAAGCTCACGGGACCACTGATGGCATGATGCTTATCTGAAGCAGACCTTTTGCTGTATTCTACATGCACCGTTCTGACTACATAGCAAAAGGCAGCTGCTACGGCGAGTCGCATGCTCATAGGATGACGAATGCGCATACCCACTAGTGTATACCATCAACCTTAACCTTCACTTACATCTTTCTTGCTCATCCCAGATGTCCTGAAGCAGTCTTGCCGTCTTTACACTGTGGTTCGCAGCCATATTCCAGATGCCATTGCGCTCAGAGCTCCTCTTCGGCACCACAGCACCATAAGCCAGTAATAGCACTACCATATCGATATGTCCTCCCTTGAGTGCATACCACAGCACTGGTGTAGATGGGACGTAGTGTTCATTTCCTTGTGTGATCTGTACACCACTGCGGATGAGCAGCCTGGTAGCCACAAGCCAGCCATTCTCCACCGCCACTATAAGACCCTGCCATAGTTCGTTAGGGCCGATATAACTCTTTTCATGATTACGAATTGCGCATCTTAGGGTGGGATCGGCTTGGAGCAGGTACTGAATGATGTGCGTGTGGCCGTATCGACAGGCCGAGTGGAAGGGCGTTGGCTCCAGTCGGCGTATGTAATTGATTGCATCCTCGGGATAGTAACTGAATCGTAGTACGTCCATTTCACCATTCCGAACTGCCCAGTCGATCCAGCCCCGCTTTGCTTCCTTGATCAATCTTCCAGAGTAGCAATGCTTCAGGTACCAGGACATGAGTGTAGGAAGTATAGTAGTACGCTGCTCGAACATGCATGCGTTGATCGCGTTGTGCAGTTGTTTGCGCTTGTAGAAGCGTTTTTCCATACGCTCATAAATGAAAGAAGCGGAGTAAAGATGCCCATTGACCGCGGCGGCGGTAAGCGGCGTGCCGTACAGCTCGCTACGTAGACCTACGTCGTATACCTTGCCAACAAGGAAACGAAGTGCAGGTTCACTGTTGACAGCAGCGGCAGCAGCGAGCATTCCCACCGTATCTGCGCGGCCCATATTCTTCCTGACCTTGACCGAGTCATTGAATGGTCCCTGGCAGAGATATGCGAGAATGTCGTCTACCGAGAGTGCCGCTGACATGGCGTTACAAAGGGCCAGGCGGTAGCGTTCGCGCTGCGCTTGCGATTGATAATATGAGAATTCCATGAGAAAATCGACCGTGGCTTCCATGTGATCAAGAATGTACGTCGAGCGGCAGCGGGTGGGGCCCATCTTGGAGAGGACAGTGTACATATTTGGTGCGAGTAGACGCTGCTTGCGGTCGTCACTGAAGCTGCGGTAGAAACTTGCGGAGTATCGACCAAACATATCGTCGTGTATTGCGACCGCGAAGGCTTTGCAGACATATCGTGCTCGAACTGCCACAGCCCATCCGCGGCCATTATATAGGTAGTCGTGCAGGTAGTTGTGTATGATAGCAGCGAAAATTTCTGCTGGGAGATCAAGTAAGTTCATGATGGTATCCGGAATGTGAAGAGCTCATGATGCGAGGCTTTGCGACTGAGCTGTACTCATCGCTGCGCTGCCAAGCAATTTGCGCGTTTGCAATCCACGGGTACCTAGGTATCAAGTCGCGTAGTCATCTGACTCCAAGTGCAGCGTTGACGCGCTGTTGCTGCGGTCAGCTTTCAATCTTTGATTCTGCACTCGAAAAATTTCCACAGAGATGCCATGTGGTCTGGTGTCTCGAGTAGTACCGCCCGAGCGAGTATGTCTTCCAAGTGAACTACCAGAGGGTCTTCATGGTAGCGAGACCCACAACCAGATATCAGTACAGAAATCTCCGAATCAACAGGTTCATACTGAAGAAGTCAATTGCCTACATTGCAAAAATTTGCTTCAGTTGGGGCATACTAGTACTGATAGCAATAGCTCCAGAGAATGCCTCAAGCTTTTGTTGTTGCATGCCCAGGTAGTACAAGAACGCTAAGCGTTCGGGGAAAAGGGACGTGACAAACGGTCTGCGTTGGCGAGGCCATCAGGCTCGGCATGATCCCTGCACCGTGAGGCGTCGTGTGCAGTCTAGATTGGGAGCCTGCACGTTCTGATGGCAGAGTGGATGTCAGGAGGCGCGGCGCTGTGTGATTGATGTCAACGATCAGCGGCTTCAGTATTGATGATGATGATGACCGTGCGGGGAAAAGCCGACGTTGGCGGCTTCCTAGTCGTCGCCTCGCGCTTTCCAATTGCCAGAACGTGTCAGGGATGATACGATAACGCGTGGTAGGCGCACCTTCCCATCTAAGATTCATCATTTACGTCCGACGACAGACAGATCTATGAAGGACGCGTTTGATGATTGCATCTTTCTGCCACCTTCTAGACTCGCCGCGCGCAAACAAGAACCTGAGCAAGCCATAGCGCGCCACTGAGGCTGTGCGCGCCGTCCACGTGTAGCAGCCAATCTGGCTGATCGACGTCATTCGCTCGATTTCCGGTATCCACCTGCATACTAAGCACGTACCAAGCCGGGTCAAGCTTGCCGAGCATTGATAAGGAAGGCGGTGGCCGCGCCTCACTTACTTGGCCACACTTCTACCACCGCCCCAAGTACATCTTTGTACTCAACCACCCCCAAACTCTACAACACCAAAACCGATGGGAGAACCCGACGACCCCTCTATACGCAGCTTCAAGTCTAAGGCAGCATCTGCACTTGGCTTGGGACGCAAGAAAGACACGCAGACCGACGTCCTTCCGACCCACAACCCCCACTCGACCGCCCATCCTGGCCTAGATGGCAGCAACCCGTCGCGTAGTGCACATGGCACCAGCGACCACAGCGAGAAGCCCGTTGCCAGCGATAATAGCTTCACAGACATCGACAATGGCAGCGTCAATACCGCGCCCGATGGAACGACGCCTCCCGCCATAGGATCCGAGAAGCGTCCGTTCTACTCGCTCGTGCGTGTCAAGAACGGAAGCCTCCGATTCATATCCCACACCAAGAATGCCATCACACACAGCTGGATCAACCTCCTGCTCGTCTTCGTGCCTCTTGGTATTGTAGTCAAGCTTGTGCACCTGAAGCCCGAAATTGTCTTCTCCATGAACGCCATCGCCATCATTCCGCTGGCTGGCCTGCTCGCGCACGCGACCGAAGTTGTCGCTGCCCGGGTTGGAGATGCGCTCGGTGCACTGCTTAACGTATCCTTTGGAAACGCTGTCGAGTTGATTCTCTTCATCATCCTGCTCGCCTCTGACCAGATCGAGGTCGTGCAAGCGTCTCTACTTGGATCCATTCTTGCCAACCTGCTTCTCATTTTGGGCATGGCATTCTTACTCGGTGGTTTGAAGTACCAGGAGCAGGTCTACAACAATACCGTCACTCAGATGAGTGGTGTTATGCTGGCCCTCGCCGTAATGAGCCTTCTGCTACCCACTGCCTTCCACGCTGCTTTCGAGAACAATGCCATCGCTGACCACGAGACATTGTCCGTCAGTCGTGGAACCAGTGTCATCCTTCTACTAGTCTACGGCCTGTACCTCGTTTTCCAGCTCAAGAGTCATCGTTATCTCTACGCTAGCACTCCCCAACATATCATTGACGAAGAGTCACATCCCGGTGTCCTTGCCGGTGCTTTCGACTCGTCCAGCTCCGACTCTTCATCCAGCTCCAGCAGCAGCGACAGCGACAGCTCCTCCAAGAACTCTGATGGCACCATGAAGAAGAAGGCCAAGCGCATGGTGAAGAGGCTTCGCCGCAAGTCCAGCGCTAGCTCCAAAGACGCAGATGCGCTCTCGGCCCTCAATTCGCCAGAGGGTGAGCTAAACCAGAGTCCTTTCGATTCGGAGAGAACCAATAGCGTCGCCACTGCCAACAACGCAGCTCCTATTACTTCCCGCCGACACTCATTCGACGTCATGAGCGGTGACGAGGCCGATAACGATCAATACGTCCCAGTCGTTCGTGACTTCGAAGCCGCTTCGCAAACTTCGCGCTCGGTGACGAAGAAGGAAAAACGTAGGCATAAGAAGAGCAAGAAGGACCGCCGTGATCGCAACAAGGTCGACACCATTCCCGAAAAGGAGGTCGTGCCGAATGAGCCCACACCCAAGGTTACCTTCGCGGAGGAAGTACAGAACGACAGTGCCACTACTATGAATTCCAACCCTCGCAGATACAACCGGCCTGCTCTTCCTTCGCTACTTTCCAACAATGTCTTCTCGAACCCTCAGAACCTCGCTCCACTCGGCGGTCCCGCGCCCAACATTCGTATGGCAGCACCCCGCGACAACACCGCCCTGCGTGCACCCCTTCGTCGATCCAAGTCCCTCCCGGATCAAATTGGCCGCGCCGACTCCACCGGCAACGCAGTCAAACATCCTGCTGTCTCTCCACAGGCCGCCATGGCCCTCAACGAGGATGATGAAGACGATGAAGCACCTGACATGTCCATCAAAGCTGCTATCTTCATGCTTCTGATCAGCACTGGTCTCGTTGCGGTCTGCGCCGACTTCATGAGTGAAGCTATTGAGCCTATGGTTGAGAGTTCTGGTATCAGCCAAGCGTTTATCGGTCTTATCATTCTTCCCATCGTTGGCAACGCTGCAGAGCACGTCACTGCGGTCACTGTCGCGATGAAGAACAA